AGGAGCATTACAGCAACTGAGGCTAACACACACTCATTCATCCTAAACAATTGTAGATGTTCTTTAGTGGTAGGGGAGTACTGCATGGAAACGTACACAGACACAGGGAGAACATGCAAACTCCACACAAACGAGCCCTGTCGGGTCACTCGTAGTGGTTACTTGGCTTGTTAACTTTACCAGTTGCATAAAAAAGTAAACACTAAACAAAAGTTGATTATGGTCAGTACTGTGCCACTTTAGAGCTAAAGTGCCACTCTGTGTGATCTGGTATTTCCAGTTTCCTCCCATCGCACTACTAACCAAGCCCCCTGCTGCTTGAACCAATGAGACTAGGTAATGCCAGCAAAGTTATAGGGCTGATCTTCAATAAAGTAGACAATTTCAGGCTGTGATTCAAAGAGCTTTTCAGAAGGAAGTTGTAATAACTCTGGAAACACACAGAGAAATGTACTGAAAAGAAATCATTAAAACATACATTGCAAATTGATTAGCTTTGAGTTCAGCCTCAAGTAAAGCGGATATTATTAAATATCACAGGTCGTGCTTCGTTTGTTAACCCTCTGCAGGCAGGCATTGCAGATTTGCAACTACTTAATTTATTATTACCTAACTAATCCACATCCATATTTTTGACCCATTTTTACTCAGAAGTACCACTGCTGGACTTAGTTGATCTTTAGCAACACACAGCTTTCCACCTGCTCACCAGGGGGCGGAGCTGTCTCACTTCCTAAATGTTAAACTCTTTGGTTTCACCAAAACAGATTTTCTAAGCATCAATTTCAAGTCAGAATCATTACCAACCTCTAATAATTTGAAACAAAAACTGTATACAATGAAATTATATATATAGATACAGTACATGCCAATCAGTATGTGAAACCTGGGGTTTACCCCGGGTCAGCTCTATTTACCACAAAGGCCAATGTTGCAAATCTGCAACATCCCAGAATGCATTGCCTGTGAAGGTCTCTCTTGCTAAATTTTTATTTATTTTACTACCCCAAATGATAATTTTCCCCAAATATAAGATTTGTCCTGTCATTCCATTGTTATTGGGCCTTGTGAGGACAGACTTAAGATAAGTGTAGTATGGTATTATGTACAGGCTCGAGATCAGGGCATCTGGGAGTCAGTCATGCATCAACAATGACCCTAATGTTGATGAAAAAAAACACAAGGGGGCGGAGGCAAAACTCGACTGCACATGGGTACACGATGTGACCATATGTTTCATGCCCCTGTGATTTTGCTCACGATGAAAGCCACACACCTACACCATGCATGGAAGCCAAGACACTGTCACATGCATTTCACGCTCCTCTAGAGAACAGCTATCAGTCATACAATTCCAGCTGCAGGAAAGAGGCCATTGTGGTGATCTAAATTCTCTCAATTAGCAAATCATGCGTGGCTACAATTAGTTTAGTAATGCAGGATAATGCAATATCCGGTCTGCATCTGATTTATAAGTCAACTTCTACTAGATCTCTAATCATGTTCTGAAATGCATTGGATTAGAAATTAGCTTGGTTTCTGGTTTGATGCTAAATGTAGTTTAGCATCAAACCAGAAGTGCCCAAGCATATTTACAAAACAGATACATATAAATGCATGAGTGACTGTACAAAGCTGCTGCAATACCACGGTAATATCATGGCTTCAATTCCACCGACAGGCCTCTCTCTGTGGACTTTACCTGTTCTCCTTGTGTCTGTGTGGGTTTCCTCTGGGTGCTCCTGTTTCTCCAACCACTAAAAACATGTACACTAGGAATTCATGTGAGAGAGAAAGGATTGTGATTGTCCAATGACATTCACTGTGTGTGGAATACATGGAAATTACACGTACAACAACATTTCAAAGCGCTTTGTGTGATCTTGGTCTGTGCAATGAAATGAAATGAAATCTTACTTAATTACTTATATTTTAATTTCCCCAAACACAAAGTCAACATGTTCAAATTGTCTTTGGCCTTTTTTGATCCAAAGTTTAACCTCTTTACTAACACCGGCGCGCCGGCGGCTGTTTTTATGTTTTTAAATGTTCTGCTGGCAATAGCAGATGTATTTTGAACACCAAACCCCAAAAGCTGTATATCATTTTAAAGCTTATTTTCTTATCTACATTTATATACAAGTGTAAACCACATCAGATATAACACATAATGTGGGCACAAAATAAATCAATTCCGAAATAGTTTTTTACCTTTGGGCTTGTGCTGTACAAATAAATCAGCTCTCCTCCCAGCTTGCAATACATCATTCTCTCTGGAACAGTCCAAAGGAAAATTATATCCACTTGTATTTCCCAAAGTAAAATCCATTCTGCAGAAATAATCCAAAAATGTGCATTTATCTTTAGCGAAAAAAACGAAAAAAAAGAGCACAGATGTTACTCTTTCACTTTTAACGGACTTTTAGCTTTGTTTTTCACCCAAACATCTGGTATCCACGTGTTCCTTAGCTCATTATCTTTCAAATGAGACTACTCCCGAAAAGCTAGACCAATTTTTGGGTCTGCAAGAGGTCCCGTAAGTACAGCTTGCGCTGCTGTTTGCGCATTGAACACTGATCTTTTGTGGGGTCCCAACTTGTTTGCTTTTACTTCCGGGATTTACGATTGACATGTCCTTGTAGCCAATGAGGAACGCTTTCGAACAAGGGGTGGGACAATGGTGTCCTGTCTTATGTTGGGCCTGGACAATTGTGCGTAATGGAAGCCAAAAGACGCTCTCGAAGCTGCAATGAATTTACACTCATAAAAAAATAACTTTGACATTTAAAAAAGAAAAACACACATAGATTAGTAACTTATAAGTACCAATAATAAAAAATATCGTTTTTATGATGATTAAATGTAAGTAAAGATATTGCACAAGTGTGCCAAATTGTGCCAAATGTGCACTACTTGATGAAAAGGAGAAACTGCATAAAAACTATAAAACTTAGAAGACAACTTTAGACAGTTGTTGTCAACAACACAATGAACAGAGGGTTTGAATATTGTGAACTTACAATGAAGTATGCCTTTTTTAGGGCCTTTAGAAATTGAAAATGTTAGGCGAGGCTAAAAAAATTGGGTTTTTTCCCTAACTTCAAAGGATGCAGAGGAAAATAGGGATGACAAACATTATTTTAGTGTTTTTTTACATAAACTAGAAGGCTCTAGCTTTAAAATGATGCATCACACAAGCATGTGAGATGTAAGATGTGTTTTTAAATAAGCAAAGACATTTGGGTATGCCCAACCATTGTGCACGAGCCAAAATGAGGCGGATGTTAAGAGGTTGGTGGATTTCGTCGTACAGTGTTCAGGTCATAATTGTAATTCATTTATTGAAACAGTGGGGGCTAAAACTACAAACTGCCTTTAAATTTGCTTAGTGAGCAAAATCAGACATATTTGTGAAGAAATGGTGCGCACATTTTTCTTTTCTTGTAAGGATCTACTAACTCAATGCCAGAATGTTAACATGTACAAGCAGTAGACCGTTATGGGGTTTTATTTGGCCAATGGCTCTTCAGATTTCTTCAAAGTTTGGCTGGCTGATGGGCGATTTGAACAGCCGATTTTGAAGGCTGTGATAAGAAAAGGAAAATGTGGACACCAAAGTGCGTTATACGAGTGCTCTTCCAGTTTCCTCCATGCTCAGATCATTACCCAAAGTTCGCAGAAACACCTTTTCAAAAACAAGAGAACTCTATCTGGCATCCCAAGCTATTAATAGCCCTGTGTTTCTTTGTCGTCTTTATGTAACTCCCATCCATCTAACTTACCCCCAGGACCCAATGATCTGCTCTGCGCTCACGCTCTGTAGCAGGGGGTATACGTGAGAATATCTCTCTAAGCTGACTGAAGCACTTTGGGATTACAATTATTTCTTTGGATCATGTCTCTTTGTGCTAAGTCCAAGATCTGTTGTATGCATTTTGCAATTGCACAGCCAAGTTGTCGGTGAAATGGTAGCACCTGCATAAGAAAATATGGGAAAATGAACACATAAATAATGATATGTGAAAACAAACATATATTTTAGAACACCAGATGGCATCTGTTTGCACTTTTTTTTTTTGCGTCATGGGTAGCACGCTATTTGAATATGATAATGAGGATTCATAAGGAGGTGGCCTGTACCAGAATCAGCGTTTGCATCACCACAACTCAACCAATCTAAAGTGACTAAATTATACCGCAGTTAGTGACGTACTGTTCAATCTATAATCATATGGCTTAGTAGTAACGGGGAAACTAATTCAACACATTGATTAGAGAAATAATGGTTAGGAATTACAGTACTTTTTTAGTATTTTCTAAAGTGTAAATGATATTATGTAAGAATAATATTTCGACAATAGAGAGAAGCAGTCAGATGACGGGAAATAGCACCGAGATCTCAGACTGGAGGGCTGTACATATATGTATTTCCATCGATACTCTAAGGTAATTTAAGTTTAATCTTGTCAACAGATGCATGCAACTAAAATGTATAGGATCAACTATATCACTTTCGCCTCTTTCACACAAATGTTAATTGTTCATGCAACTATGTACATTTTTGACCAGTTACCCCAAAATAAAGCGACTCAAATAATCTCTCCATCATACGCTATTCCCGCAGATTTGTGCCGAATTCGAGCGGTCTTTTCCCCTTACAAAAACATCCTCTTAATCAAAATGGCCTCTCATGAATCGTGACCATTCAGCATCCTAGTTAGTCATCTCTTCTTTAGCTGCCGCACCTCTGCTGCTTCTTCTCAAGGCCGTCTCCCACCACACCAGGTTTATGAGCTTAATAACTCTGCAGAGAAAAAGGGAATAAGATGTGCTTTGAACGCTTGTACCAAAAGAGCTTGACATTAACTATTTATTTCTCCTGTCTTTTCCCTCTCCACCGTCTTGTCCTTCAAACCCCACTCATCACCTCCCCGATCTCGCCCCCCTTTCATCTGATATCATTCCGTCTTTCAAACCCATCGCTGTTTTTGCCTCCACAGGGGATGAAGTGGTTCGGCGCGATGTCCCACAGCACCAACCGAAGTAAGAGGAGGAGCAGAAGGGGCTATTGCAGGATTCTTTTACTATGCTGGGCCATCCTGGTGGTTCTACTCATCATGGCCCACCCCTCTGCCGCCCAGAAGCGAACCGGCTCGGAAAAGGTGCCCGTTCTGAACATTGCCGTGATCCTGGGACGCACGCGCTACATCTCTGACCGGGATATTCGGGCATTGTGGAGCAAAGAGGATCCCATCGACGTCAACGTAGTGACTTTGTTGGTGAACGAGACTGACCCGAAAAGCATTATCAATCACGTGTGCGACTTGATGTCCGGCACAAAGATCCATGGCGTGATCTTCGGAGATGGCACGGATCAGGAGGCCGTGGCACAGATTCTGGATTTTATTTCCTCGCAGACGCTCATACCTATCCTGGGTATCCACGGTGGTTCTTCCATGATCATGTCGGAAAAGGTAAGCCTAAAATTGCTTTCCAACTGGTCGGGGTCGTTCCGGTATGAGTGTTGCATGGCTGTAATTTGTTGGTTTTTTCAGGAGAGCTGCCCAAAATTATGTTGTACCATCTGTGCCCAACCGCAAAACCTGTAAACTGTTGGGAACACAAAGCTCACACTAACCAGTCAGCATCTGAATGCTTTTGGCCAGTGTCGTACAGTGCTGTTGGCTGTGTCGTACAAATTCAAAAATCCCCTGTTATCACGCTCCCAGATAGAAAGGAAGCACCAACGTTAGCTTTATCTTAGACATATCTGTGTATGTCTTGTCAGTGAGGCGATGCAGAGCTAGCAGGCTGCAGGGGGAGGTGTTCAAAGATGGAATAAGAGAGTCATTTGCATACAATAGATAGCCGTAGGGAGAGGTGTGAGAAAGCAGGAGACGTAGGTGGTTTCTGGAACACTTTGTGCAGGATTCCCTCACACCAGGTGCTGTGGAGTCCCCGCCGGTTCTTACATTTGAATGGGCAACACCGTCCGCCTGCCAATCAACTTTGGCTGTGAATTCAGACGCATAAATGTGGAACTGGATATTTGTGCCACAGAGACTCGCCTGTCACACTTGCGATATCCATAACTAAAAAGCAGGGTAAGCATTTAAGCATCCTTAAGAAGCTACATATAGTAACTGTGTGTCTTTACTAAGCCCTTTTATGTAAGCAAAGGAAATGAGGTCAGCTTGCAAGAGGTGTGGTTTATTCCTCGCCATTGTCTAAATAACACTTGCAGTAGACATACACATAGCCTACTTTCTCTTCCAGTGCAAATACACAGCTTGTATTTTTTCTGAGACAATTTTCCACAGCATATATGGCGCAAACTGATGTCATGTTGTCAATAGTGTTGCTTTTGTGTACAATATATTCCGAAAGATTACAACAAATACATCTCCTTCCTTCCAGTGAACTTATGAAATCGTTGTTTGTGTACAGTTAATATGGTATTATTGCTCCTGCAAAGATGTATTGATTCAGAGTGAGAGTAAAGAAAGATTGCTAGAGGAGAAAGAGGAGAAGGGAAGGTGGGGGGGGCAGGCTGGAGGAGCGATAATCTCCACGTTTGACCAGAGTAGAGGCTACCGAGCCGGAGAATTACCGAGTGTCCTGATTGGCACCTGCAGGAGAGTGTCATTGAAACAGCAGTCACCACGCTCTTGACATCCCAGGAGCCAGGGAAAATCGTCCACTCTAGAGCCATCAGAAGTTCAATTTGGCTTTTCTTGTTTTGGCTGCAAGTCAATGGGATACGGACACAACGTGTTATAGAGCACGCAGCTTCAGTAACATGTTTTGGAAAGTGATAAGAGGTAGACAAGGACGCTCACCAAACCATGTACAGTAGAGAAAAACGTCACACTTATTCTCATGTAGGTTGGGAGCACAGATCTTGGTTGATAGTTGAATATTTTTTTATTGTTAAACGAATAGGCATATAATCACTTATGTGCACGCTGTTTGTAATAATAATAATAATAATATAAAGGGAAGTAATGATAAACATCTCATGGTACAATACAATTTTGATAATGATTTCACAGTATGCTATATCTTACAGATATTGTGGAGGGGGTTACTGTATTATAGCAGCAGGGTGTTAATGATTCTGTACCTGTGCTTTGTTTGAATCTGAACTTGTAGCTTATCGCGATTTATAACATATTTGACTTTTGTTTTGAACACAACCTATATTGTTTTGTAAACAGGGATAGGCGCAAAAAGCTTATTCAATTTCAGACACAATGTGTATTGTCTATTTCCATGTAATGAATGTTAAAATGTCTGAACAAATCAAATAAATCTTAATCTGAATATTGTATGAAGAGTATAAATACAAGATACAATCATTTATTTGCCATTTGCAGTAAAAACACATTGGAACAACTGATATAATTTATAGTTGTATGTTTTGAATGAAACACAGTACTGTGTACTGCAGTCTGCCTCATGATCGGCTTCCTTCTCCAGCACAATCCTAACAACTTCATTCGACTTCAGGTCATGTTTACACTTGCTCTCTAAACTGTGATCGTGCACAATAGGACTGAAGCCCCTCTTTGGTGAGCACCGCAGCTCACCACTTAAGGATTACACTCACTTTAATATACCCCTTCTTTAACTTCCACCATCTCCCCCTCTCTACAGCGCGCATCTCCAGCCCGCACGCCGCCTTGTTCTTTGCAGATGTTTAGGGCTAATCTCCATGCGCGTCATAAGAAGACGCCGCTTGCCTTGGATGATTATGCCTTGTAAGACCCTCGGCGCGTTTGTCTGCTCTGTTAGTGCGTTCGTACCCTGCTCTTTGATGGCTCCTCATGCTCCGAATAAATGTACAACACTGTCATACTAAAGGCTAATTCTCCCAGCTCTGTATCAGTCCCGTAACACTGCACATCCGACCGGGTTGCCCATTTATTCTTTGTACCCCTGTTTGTGTTTTCTTCCGACGTTGCTTCTGTTCACTCATCTATCACTAACAATCATGTTGTCTTCTATGCTTGCTTGTTAATTAGATAAATATTGGTGCTTCTCCCTTCAATGGCGCCCTCTTCTAAAGATGGCGGCTTTGTTGAATAATGCATCACCTGCCTGTATTGGAAATAATGCGTTATTGATTAAGGAAAAGATATGTCTTCCTTTGCTGCATTGTAAGCAATTCAGGTTTAATAAGGGGGAAAAAAATCCCTGTCCAATATATTTAAAAAAAACGCTTGTTGTTTGTTGTTTTTTGGCCTCAGCTCATTGCATAATCACATTTTTGGCAAAGTTATGGCTTGCACACTTTTGCCAACTTGTTAAAGCAACTACTACCTTACCTGTTCGGAGAGAGTAGGAGGATGAAGCCTTTTTATTGGCTTTCCCCAACTTGTTAAAGATTTCCTGCTGGACTTGTTATGAAAATCTATAAATAGTAAGATGTTATCACTTTAGACTTAATGTTTGTGGGCAATCTGAACAATGGAAAGCGCTTTGGGTGACCTTGGTCTGTAAAAATGTGCTATGAGTCTGGTGTGTGTTTGAATGGTTGGTGGTGGTCGGAGGGGACGATGGCACATACTGGTTGCCTCGCTTCTGTCAGTGTGCCCCAGGGCAGCTGTGGCTACAGTAGTATTTTATCACCACCGTGTATGGAGTGAATGGTTTATGACATGTAAAGCGTCTTTGAATGTCCAGAAAAGCGCTATATAAAAAAATAATTCTGATTTTGATCTGATTCTGATATAAAACCGATGCATTATTATTATTATTATTATTATTATTATAAATAAAATACTTACTTGCTTACTTGCAATCAAGATATTTAGACTTGGAAATAACAATAATGAAAATAAATGAATGTGTCACTCACTGTGAAAACGTTCTTTGACACGGCTTTAAAAAGCCAGGGGATAAAAGCAGTAAAATACTTTAATAAAATCTATTAGAAAATTATAAAAGGCTATAAAAAGCTATGCAGTAAAACACATTGGTAAAAAAGGACTAGAAATAGGGGAGAAAACGTGGAATAAAGCCAGACCACGGGGCTGGGCTTTTGCCTTCCTGTGTCTTCTCCCCGATCTCGATCTCCTGCTTCCCCTCTTTCTCTCCCCATCCCAGCCTTTTGTGCCCAAATGTCCTGATTGCATTCAGGCCTGCAGTCACGTGGGTGGCCGGTTTCTTCGGGAGGTATCAAGTCAATCAAATTACATAACACTATACAGTATAAAAAACACCTTCCCTTTTGTTCTCCACAACACATGTGAATCAAAAGTTTACCATACATAGTGTTTTAAACATGAAAAACAGAACACAACTGAAGTAGAAGATGGTGTGGGGGGGACTGGACTGTGGTAGAGGATTGTCTGAAAAGGTGAGTCAGGATTTGAACAAGAGAGAAGGGGGTGGATGTTGTGGAGGTCGTGCAGGAGTGGGTTCCAGAGCTGGGGAGCAGAGCGGCTGAACGCTCTGCCCCCAAGTGTGATGAGACGGAAAGAGTGGACAGAGCGAGAGAGAGACAGAGAGGGTGGGTGGTGATGTGGAGCAGGTTGGACATGAATTGTGGAGCCAGGTTATGAATTGCTTTATCGCGGGGAGACAGTGAAGTTGTTTTACAATGCGAGTGATGAGGTGAATGGTGGGTGTCGTGGTGATGATGCAGAATTTTTCACTCCATTCCAAATTGAAGTGATAATACTAAATCTTTTGTACATTTTGTGGCTGGCAGGTACCGGTGATTGAAAAAATGTGTTTGTTTGTCAGAGAACGAATCCAAATAAAAAAGCAGAATCCAACAAAGTGGAGTGAGATATATATTTTTTAGTTTTGATAATGGTGGTTGTCAACATTATTAACACTTTTGTATCAATGTGGGAGTCACGGTAACCAGAAAAGTGGAAAAAAATTTGTCAAAAATTGCTCAAACTTGGTAAAACGTATCTTAAGCACATTTTGACGGCCTTAAAAACAAAATTGCTGATGGGTCAAGCAAAATTATCTTTTTTTTAAAAAGATGCAGGAAATGTATCCCTTGGAATGAGAAAATAAAGCAACGGTTCTTGAAATGGGACTATATTGCTTGTCCTATTGGCAAATCTTGTTTTAAGACAAATACAGTGCCTTGCGAAAGTTATCTGCAGTTCATCCAGAGTGATCATGGGCCTCTTGTCTGCATCTCTGATCAGTCTTCTCCTTGTTTGAGATGAAAGTTCGGAGGGACGGCCGGGTCTTGGTAGATTTGCAGTGGTCTGATACTCCTTCCATTTCAATATAACTGCTTGCACAGTGCTCCTTGAGATGTTTAAAGCTTGGGAAATCTTTTTGTATCCAAATCCGGCTTTAAACTTCTCCACAACAGTATCTCGGGCCTGCCTGGTGTGTTCCTTTGTCTTCATGGTTCTCTCTGCGCTTTAAACAGAACCCTGAGACTATCAAAGAGCAGGTGCATTTATACGGAGACTTGATTACACACACAGGTACATTCTATTTATCATCATCAGTCATTTAGGACAACAGTGGATCATTCAAAGATCCTCACTGAACTTCTGGAGTGAGTTTGCTGCACTGAAAGTAAAGGGGCCGAATAATATTGCACGCCCCACTTTTCAGTGTTTTATTTGTT